ATGTTTTGACTTGAAACAAATACTTACATACATATTTAATTATATATAACAACATAAAACAAAATAACATATTGCTTTGCATATTGAATTTATGTAATCTTAGAAACAGTTTCTAAGAATTTCAGTTAGTTTGGAAATAAATTTTATTATAAATTATGATTAGAGAAAATTGTGTGTTTGCGTTTTATAAAATTCAGAGCAATAAAAACGGCTTTATATAAATTGAGTCTACTATTTAATTGCTTATCGGGATCCAGCGATAGCGAACGTACGCAACAATATTTAAAAATATATAATATAATGAAAATTAATTAAAATAATATAAAAATAAATTTTGTTGTTGTAGCTCACTACTGTTCGAAACTTCTCTATATATAATAATATAATATAAAGTTATATAACTCAGAAAATTTTATACATATGTATTGATATAAAAAAAAAATAAAGAAAAACAAAAAAAAAAAAAAATAAAAGAGACGAGAAAAAAAACATATGTACATCAAAACAAAAAATAAATATATTATACTACAATATATTAAAATAGTTATATATCCAGTAACACAAATATAGGGTAGTTTCAAAACTAGGGTTGTAGGGTTGTAAATAATTTAACATATCAACAAATAAGTCAGGATAAAATTTATTGTTCTTTTGTTATCGCTGATTTCTGTGCAGTAATTTTTTAATCCTTCCAAAGTACCGACCTTACTTTAAACTTACATATATAATTTATTTTATTTTATTGCATTTATTGTTTCCTATTGTTATACTATTAGATAGTTTCGAAACTCCACCCTAATTTCGGTTTAGTACTTGTCCTTTGTAACCCCTAAACGTATCCTTTTAACCGAAATGGAACTGTGCCCTTCCAATTCCAATTGTCGTATTAATTGTTTGCTTTGCGTCAATGAAACATGCATGCAAGCACATGTAAATGCATACACGTACATGCAAGGCACGCTCGAATGCGTGTGCCTGTCTGCAGTGTCCTGACCGGGTTGAGTCTGGGTCTGGGTCTGCTTGTTAGTGCATGTATTGCTGACTCTTTGATTCATCAAATGAATTTGTTAATTTCCAATCAAAGCCAATTTGTATTGCAAAATTGGCCTTGTGGTTTGTGGCCGGTTCACCGATACAAAGTGTCTCATTTCAAACATTTTTTCAGAGTTTTGTTTCTGCTTATCATTTACATTTGAAGTGTTATATTATTTATGAACTACGTGTGTTTGTTTGTTTGCCCATAGCTCTCCACCTGGTATATTTTGTTTTTATCACTATGAAAGTCCACAAACTACGTTCAACAGAATTTTATTTATGAATAATAATTTAAAAATGAAATTACTTTTGCCGACCATGAATTACAAAACTATTTTCCATAACTTCAACAAATTTTATATTTTAATAAATGTTTTTTGTTTTATATTAAAATATTTTTTGATTTTTATAAAGCAAACATACATACATATAAATTTATAAATGTATATTAAATTTCGAAAATATTACGAGTATTAATAAAATTTTAAATTCAATAAAATAGAAGTATTAAATGTGGCTTTTTATGTATTTTAATGGTTATTATATGTTTTATCTCATAAATTGAATTTAATAATTTATATAAGCTTTACAATTTTACACACATTCATACATACAATATATCAGCATTGTTAATCAGAAATCCAATTCCGATAACAAGTAAAACGTATTGTTATGGTAACAAAATACTACATTTAATTGGATCGACTAGTAGTAATAGCCGTAATTTTTTCTTTAAGAGTAGCAAAAGAATACTCCCAACTTACAAAGGAAAACATGTGAAGCAACAACAATTCTCTTAAAATCTTCAGAGTTAGGTTTTACTCGCAAAAAATTTTACGTCTTAAATTTCATTGCAGCCAAGTTCGGAAATCAATCAATTGTGAATGTTCACTGGAAATATGTCGCAAAATTCCAATCATACGATAAATATTATATTAATATTCATTTTGTTTTCTTTTATTTAAATTAATTAATTTCATTGTTTAAAATATTTATACTTCATATTGTACACAATAAAACAAAAAACATATGCCAAAAACAAGCATTTGAAATATGTTAAAAGTGATGGCAATTTGTTTCAACCAGACCTAATGATGTTTTTTTACAACTCTGAAAAAAAAAAAAATACGACGAATGTAATATAAGGATATTAATATTGTAGTTCCAAAAGTAGTCATAAATAAAACACATTTATGATTAAAACTTCAAATTGATTTTTATTTCAATATATTGCTTTCACCTTGCTATTATGTGTAAGGTACAGGATCATTGTTATGTTCTCCATAGAATATCTTACAGTACAGGGTCCTTTTGGTATTATTTTTAATGACTTTTTTACAAATATATAGGTGGGAACAATTCGGTCATAAAGTGATGATTGTTTGTTTTCAAAGCAACGGCATCGAACATTTTTTTATAAATAATTAGTTAGGTAGAATAGGTTATACCGGCGATTCCAAGGGATCCATTTAGGTCTACTGACCAATTGTGTTACTGTATAATTAAAAGCTCAAGAGCGTTAGAACCACTTAGAACCTTTGGCAAACTTTAAAATGCTATTCAGTAGGAAGTCTTACAGTTCGTCAAGATTCTCATAAAAGAGAGTCTTATTAAGATAATGATTGAAAGGAAGATTTAGTCTTCTAGTATGACCTGTAAGTAACCTACTATAAGACTGTAATCTTTACGCGGCATCTCAATAAGAAAGTTTGATTTCCTTTTATGGGAGCGTAGCCAAATTGCATTCAAATACATATCATTGAATCTTCTATCTTTTATTGAAAAGTTCGGCACAGGAAGAACTAAGTAGCAATTTGCATGATTATAAATAATTAAAACTAAACGTATTTGTCCTACTCCTTGTTTAAGCCGACCAATTCGATTTCACTGGGCGTAGTAAGCTTTATGTTAGAGTTGTCTTTGCTGTTATTAAAAAAGAAATCTGTGAAAATAGGCTTTGTAGGGAATGAGAGCAAAGCGGAGTATATATCGCATATGGACACTATCTCGAGATGATAAAGCTGCACTGGACGATTTCGAAAGCACAGTTCTTAACAAGACCTTTGATCCTTCATGAATTGGCGACGATTAAATTGATTCCGAATAAACCATGAGCTGTACGTGCTTTATCACAACATTAATAATGTCGTGAGAATGGATGACGATGCTCCCGTTAAAAATGGTATTTGAAGCGGCAGTTGGAGAAAGTGGGCGAAGATTGGGGTGACTAGGGTGAAGTAAACAAGTTAAGGGAGCATCAACCCACTAGATATACGAGATTGGAGGAGGAGTGCAAGTAATTTTTATATTTGATTTTTACTAAATCAATTAATTTTTAGACAGATTCGAATAGCGAAATTATTTCGACCATTTCAGAAGAAGGTGCATAATTAATAATTAAGGCACATAAGTTGTATTCACAAACATGAGTAACAAACTCGATAACTGTTTAATATTATAAAGTACAAACCGACATTAACAGCATATTTTTACGAGATTTGTTTAGATACTACTAGAGTTAATTTCATTAAGAAAGGCCACCGAATACCTACAAACTAAACTAATAACAACATTACATACTAAAAAAACAGATCTGAAATCAGTTGTGGAATGTGTATGTGTTGAAGTGTCAGTCACAACAACAATTCATATCATCAATATATGAAATAAGATATCTGAGAAATTTCTCGCACATTAAAATCACGGGAACCAAGAGATCGCGGTATTCCCTAAGCTCAAGAGACCACTCCATGGACATTGTTTCGAAATGATTATGGAAAAAACACAGAATCAATCGGTGTGCATTTTCCGAAAACCCGGGGATATACGTCATTGGAAGACAAATTTTTGGTTTAGGATCGGATTTGATTCTACACACTATAGAATCAAATCCGTATGGTCCGTTTGCGATAATCATTTTGAAGCAAGATAATTAGAATTTTTATATTTTCGTTGTGAAAAATTGGATCACACGTCTACACGTATGCAGTACACGTCTAATCAAATTCAGAGCTATGTTCCGCATTATATGATAAGGGTGTGGCGAGATGAAATTCATACATCGTCCAGTATTTGTAGGTTTTTGATACCAAATTATTTTAAGTTTATGGTTATGTCTAACTATTTCGTCAAGATAGTCAAGTTTTTCGGATTCTTCTTCTTCTTTAATAAACTTTATATATCTATATAGATTATAATTTCATCGGTATAGAACTTTCATCGACGTATTACATCTTTCGTTAGACGGCGGCCTTTATGGTGGACACATTGTCATGATAGAACACAACTTCTCTGTTGTTGACCAATTCTAATTGTTTTGTTCAATGGTCGAGTGGTATGGAATAAAGGACCTAATTAACTTTTAATATAGGTTTGAGCAGCTCTTAGTAAGCAATCCCCTTTTAATCCTACTGAATATAACCAACATAACCTTGTTTGCTGTCAATCCAAGCTTTGAAGTAATTGGTTGAGGGTTAGAGGCCTTTGACTATAATCTCTTGCATTGATTAATCTCGTATTTGATTTATATTTCATCTCCCGTAATAATTCGCTTCAAAAATGGTTTGATTTCGTTGCATTTCAGCAGCGTGTCATTGATAGTAATTCGCTCAATCAAATTTCTTTGCGTTAATTCGTACGCTACCAAGATATCGAGCATCTTTGCGTAGCTTGCTTTCTTCAAAGGATTGTCATGTATTTGATGTTTACCGTCTCCTGACAGCTTGTGTGCCGGTCTCGATGCATTATTTGCAAACATTCATCTACTTTTTTAGTAAGCGGCCGATTAGAGGAATATGTTTCTTTGGCATAGAAAGTTCTGGAACGTAATCAAGCAAACACCCCTACGTAAACCGCACAGATTCTTTGGCATATTTTGTATCAAAATTAAATTTATGTTTTTTAATTTAATATTAACTAAATATGCTTAATATTTTATATTTAAAAAAAAATTTGACACTTTTTTTACATCTGTAAGAAATATTATACACGAACATATATATATCTATACACATATAGAGAAATCTCTTTAGTATATTGTTATAAACTACAGCCGCAAGATGACAACTGCAAAAAAGAAAAGTATCTATACCGTTCAGAATACATACCCAGATAGGGTGGAGACAGAAGAGGCAGTTATGAGTGAACTGACCGTAAAAATTGGGACGATAGAAACTGCAATGCTCTTGCTCAGCTCCATGGAGGAGAGTGTACTGATAACAGTTTTCAAACATTTACTGGAATATTCGCGCCCAAGAACTGAAAACATTGCAGTTCTTCGTGAAAAGGGGCTTTTAGATCTGCTTCAAGAAAAAAATCTTTTGATAACAAATGAGAGTGTAATTATTAAACGTTTCGCGCTTTACTTAACTACCGTCATGATAGAAAATATGAACACACTTGAAGACTTGGAAGTAGAAAAAGTAATGGATCTTTTGGACAAATGTGTAGAATTTTATAATGTTGAAAATGATACATTTTGTATAGAATATCTTTCTGCGATCATAAACAAATGTTTAGATGATCCCAGAATGGCTCGAAATATGTTACAACAAGAGGAATACTTAAAGAAATTAGCAGGTATTATAAAGTATTCGGATAGTCCTGATATTATGTTGCAATCATTTGAAGCACTTGAAAAAATGCTACGTCTATTAAACACTGAGGATTTGCAAACATTTGTTGAAGATCCACATTTTCCAGTAGATCGGCTTATTTGTGAAATTTGTAATCCATTCACAGAAATACGCACTGCAGTGCTAAAGTTAATAAAAAGACTTTTGGGAGACCAAAGTAAGGAAAGTCCACTAAACAAACCAAATAGATCTTTGTACGTTATACAACAATTGACAAAAGTTATATGCGATCCAGCAATGATAGACAGCCATATACAGGCAATTGAAGTATTGGCAGCGGCAATGCGTAATGAGGACATGGTGAAACTATTTTTCGAACATAATTTCTTTGATAAAATTTTACAAACTATTAGTTCAGATGAAAACATATATACACCTGAGATTAAATGTAAAGCAATATCGATTTTTGCTGAAACCACCAAGTACACACAATTCTTACGAAGACTTCACGAGGCAAATATTACGGAAGCACTTCTAAACTGCCTTCTCAATCAGCCTGAAGAACCTGCTCCACACATTCTTTTCGGCCTTAACGGTTTAATGAAATACGTTGAAGCAGCCAATTACATAGTAGATGCGTACCAATTTAATCTTATAAATAGACTTTTATGTAAGTTTCTTTTTCACATTGAGAATTGTTTATAGGAGATTAATTAAACAATATCTTTTCTTATCGTTTTTTTCTAATTATTTTATTATTAATTAAAGTGTCATCTTTCCTCAGCTAACATCTATAGTTTTCAAATCGTTTACCTTCTCATTAATATCAATGATCCATTATTCCTCATTAAAATAATGTACCGCATAATATCCTTTTTGGTTTTCCTTTGCTAGAAGAGGAAAAATCTTAATATTTTTTCTCTAAATATGTTCAATTTGTTAATTATAACAGTACGAAACACTCAGATTTAGCCAATATGAGCAGTAAAACTCCGTTAATCCGGTCCCATTAAAACTAGGTTCAATCCGATTAACTGAGACGTTCAGATAAAAATTGAACAATAATCCATTGCTTATTTAATCAATCCATAAATTAATGATAAGGTATATAAGCATATACCAAAAAAAGCCTAAAGGCGACTAAAACATATATACGTGTCTGCTGATAACCCATAGAAGTGATTTATTTTATTGGTATATCGAACTGCAGGGTTCATAATGTATATTTCACATTTTCTTAGTCTGTCAGGGAAATGAGAAAGTCCGAATTACTGAATATTTGGTTTCGGATTATGAACGCAAAATAAGTTCTACTTAGTAGCCGAATACGGTCCTGTATCGCAGGCTTCGTATTATGGTGTAGTTTCGGAAGATATACAGATATGTTGTCTTTTTGTAGTATAGATATGATAGAAAAGTCGATAGATCATTTCTGCTCAATTATTGTAATAGCTTAGGAGAAGAATCATTATGCGCTAAAGGGTTAAGCCAGATAAATGAAATTCGAACTTCCAGTGAGTAGGTTATGTTTTTTAATCTCTTCAACAATAAAACCATACTTGTCGAGAAGTAAATATATAAGTATATAACACTTAAGAACGAAGCAACAATCAAAAGCGTGTCTCCATATATAACGCTTGTCTTCACTTTACATAGAATATATTCATTTGATCACCCGATTTATATTATTCTCATATTGCTTTAATATAATAATGTTGTAACAATATTTTTTTTGTTATCTCAAGTAAATTAAATGATTAATTTATCATATGTTTCACTTTAAGCTCTTATATCTAATGAGAATGTAAATATCAAAACCAGGGAACTATCAGCAGAGCTTATAAACAAATTGTTGGAGTTCGCTTTCCACGATACCGCCTATGAACTCTTCGATCTTAACATAACTGATCTTTTAGCTGCAATATTTAATACAGGATTTAAGAACTTATCAGTTGACTTAATACTTCCTTTGTTGGATATGATTGAAAAGCTTGCACAAAATGAAGAATATCGCACGCGAATTGGTGCATCGGATGCATTAAGTGAGAGCATTGCTATACTTCTTAAGGTAATAGCCTGACGACATAATTATATATGATTATATTACATATGTATAATAGATATATATATTATACATTATTGTATATTATATTATATTATTATATATTATATATAATATCAGTATTATATGAAATGTATGATCTATTATATGATTTTATATTCATAGGAAGCTTTTCCAGCTGCTTTAGTGTTAAGTAAAATTTACCGCTGTCTTAGCACCATCGTTGATGAAGAACCTGTTAGAAAAGTACTATTGCAGAACTATATTTGTGCTTCTTTGAAGCGTGCGTTAAAATCGCTTTCGAACGCTGTAAAATCATCTGCCACTAATTTTATCATACAAGCTGCACGGTTCCCGGAATTCATCGAAGAATTTATTGAAACGGGTGTATTGGAAGTGTACGGCAATTTTTCAATTTTTCTTTTCTGAACTATATTATAATAATTCTTTTATATATATATATATATAAATATATATATATATTTATTCTATATATTAGAATTTATATTAAATTTTGATAATTATTATTTTTGACATATAGGCTTATGACAAATCAAAAGTTTGCTTTCTGCGTATCTACTTGGGCAGCAGCTATAGAAGCTATACTTTCAAAGAGTCCTACATTGAAATTTTGTATACGTCATCAACTGGCCTTTACCGATTCAACCGTGAACCACAACTTTATTGTGAGCAACAAAAAGTTTGACGATTTCCGCATATTTCTCAATATATTAAAACAAGAAGTTTCACCTCTGACACCCATGTTGGTTATTAATTTTAATCGTCCCGAAAATCCTTCAACATGTGTTGTTTATGTTAGTCCCGAATGTTTTTCGCCTGAAGATGAATTTGATAATGAAACAGGTTGGTGTTATTGTAGAACACCTGGCGATGCATATTTACCAGTGTTCCTAACTGAGCTCTTCAATGAATTAGACGTAATTATCACTTACCACTATAGTATAATCTATATTATAAATATCAATAATATTTATTTTCATTACAGAGACAAGGTTTAATGGAGGATCCGGAAAAAATGAAACGCTGCATAGATTTCGATAACTTAGCAAAACGTGCCAGAATTTTAGCTAAATTTGTTGCTGGAGTTATGAATGAAGGACTTGAATCTCTTGATATCAACTCTTCAGAAGAATGTTCTCAACATGTCGTTGTATGTCATTTAAAAGAATTGGTTCAGAAAACATTACATTGTAATGTTATTCCTGTTGGTATGGTACGTAGTGGTTGTAAATTTGAGCGCGCATGTCTCTTCAAAGCTTTTGCCGATCAAATTGGCTTACCATCAACGTTGCAAAGAAGTGTCGATGGAAGATATGTTTATAATGAGGTACCCTTACCAATAGAAATACCAGAAGACATACACTGTGATAGAAAAACAATGAAATTTATGCCCTGGCGTATGTTAAGACCAACGCATATTGTTGATCTAATGTATAATGTCGGAGAATTGTATCCATTACATAGTCGTCAGTATATACAATATCTGAGATTATTTTAATAGATTATTTTTTTGATTCATTTTTATCTGTGTTTATATTTTAAAAATTTATTTTCAGTAATTTTTTAAATAAAATAATATATAACCTTAATGTATTTTTTCACCAATTTAGCTTTTCACTTCAGTATATATTTTGACAACTAATAGAAGATTTTTTAGTGAAAAAATTTATTTAATAAATAGTTAAATAGTTAAGGGCAATAGTTTTGTTTACTACTTATTAAAATATGAGAAACTAAAAGCGATATTTTTGGTGTATCTTAGTTTTTTACTGTAAAAAAAATTAAAATTAATGTTAATGCAAGAAAAAAAATTATTCGATGTGCATGAAGAGGTTATATGTACAGAATGCAATGCCCTTTCGGGATAGAGGTCAGAATATTCCTGAGGTAAGTCATGCAAACCCGACAACTTCTTGCCCACAACTTCGGTTGTCCTGGACACAAAGTTGGCTTCGAAGGAAGGTATCGCAGTGGCTGTAATTGTTATCTAAAGTTAAGTTGACATTTCTGCTTTCAGGTAATGTGGAGTTGTACTGTGACTCAAAGAGCAGCAGATCTTAGATGGACCTCGCTTCTAAACAAAGTAAAAGTTATATTCAAATATATAGCTTTTATTGTTTTTGACGAAATTATTCCAATGGCGCGTTTATTGGTGCTTAATCCAGGACTCATAACAGAATGCCAATGTCAAAGCTTATTTGCAAAATTTTGATGTTGAAAATGCTCTACATTTTACAAGAATAGTTGAATCTCAAAAAAAAACAATCTAAAATATTTGATTCATGCACGAGAAATCGCTAAGAGATTGAATGATGTTGAAAATTCTTTACGTTTTATAAGAAAACCAATATAAAATACTTGATTCATGCACGAGAGACCGCTAAGAGTTTGAATTTAACTCAACTGCCAAGAAAATAATTCTTTTTTGTGACAAAATATTAAGGATAAGATATGGACTGTATAGGAATGAGTATTAAACGCAATAAATTAAAGAATAAAAAGTATACCCAAAGCCAATATTTTTATAAAATCGTGATGATATTTATTTCGTAAAATTTCAAAAGAATCTTTACTTTGAGCTTCTTTCTAACCCGGTTTTAAAGTATACTGCCAACAACTGAATAAATTGAATTATCCCTTACATAAAAACTGCCGGAATTAATAGAAAAGATATAGTGTTCGATCAAGACAATACGAGAACTCTTACAGTATTTACAACTCAATAAAAAATTGTACAGTTTGAATGGTATTGATGTATTGCAATATCTATCGCATTTTGCCAGATCTAGGCACTTTCGGATTTTCATTATTCCATAACATTTTGCATTACATTTTTTTGACAATAAAACCAATGCTTAAGAAATCACTTCGATAGCTTTCTTACCAGCAAATATAAAAAGTTTAATGAATATGAATCCATACCACTGCTAGAAAGATACCAAAAAGTAATAAACTAAAAGACAGAATATAAAATGCAAAAGGTGTCTGGAACTAAAAGAAAATAGTATTGATTTTCATTAAAAATTAACGAATAATCTTATAGAATAAATTTTGAAAATTCTTCTGATGCCGTTTTTAAAATACCTTCTGGAATGCCTGAACTTTAACAATAAAAAAAAACAAACTGTTGAGTGCAGTAATTAGTTAGCTTTGCCACAAACCTAATAAAAATATAACAGTTTTACAAGCACTGTTGCAATAAGAGGCGAAAAAGCAAAGACTATTCTGTGGTCGATAGGGCAGTTTTATAATATGAAAGTTTTGTGACTCTGAATCACAGAGAAATGAATGCCAACTTGAAGATATAAAAAGATATATATACTTAAAGATATTTTGTTGACTTAAACAAACTAAAAAAAAATGTCACACGAATATACGAAATACAGACAGTAGAAAAATAAAAAAGACATAACAGAATCACCAAAAATTGCTAAACCCATAAAATTTGCAAAAGTTAAACAGAATTTAAAACCTAGAATAAAATCCTGTCGGAAATAACCCTTAAGACAAAAGATAATATAAGCGATACTCGATTTTAAATATTATAAATCCATAAATACTCATCTATAATAGTCATCATCTATAATAGGATCTCCTAGTTCACTATTGGACTCTAAATTTGAGAACATTAGCGCATAAGGATACGACTGCTCTGCTCGTTAGTAGAGAGCAGATGCAAATAAGAGGGAATGCTTATACTTGTTCTAAATAATTTTTGTTGTTTAGGATGGATTTGTGCCGTAATATTAAACATACCGAATGCGGAAGAAACAAATATCACCCTAAAAATAGAGAATTACCAGGCTTTGATGGAATCAGTAATTCTAGTATGAGAAATTATGCTAATATCATTATTAATCGACACATCAACGCAATTTTTTTATAAGGGATGTATCCTTAACAATGGCAATTAACAGAATTAATAAATAATAATATTCTGTAAACCAGACAAACTTCTTAGATCCACAAAATTAAATACCAGTTAACCACCCATAGATTAAAAGACAACAGAAAAAATCGTGCAAAGTAAAATAAAATGTACTATATAGACATCTAAACGCTTGTTATATCTAAATATAAACTTGGATTTTAAGAATACGATTCTATAGAACTTTAACTATTAAAAGTTTTTCAAACTATTTTAGAAGCGGTGAGCAGGGTGAGCTCCATAATAAGTTTTTTGCTTAATATCACGAAAGCCTTCGTCACAGTATCCAATGTAGGTTTGATTGTAAAACTGATTAATATCGGGGTTTCATTCAAAATGATAGACTCTCTGAGTTTGCACAACAAAAAATTTAAGGTTCGAATTGATAAACATCGTTTGTCCGTATATATTATGTATACTAGTCTTTCCAAAAATTAAAACTTATGCAGTATTCGTTGATAATGTTTAAGTGATTCCAAAATATTGTTTTAAATAGGTTTCTAAAAGTTCCAAGGTATATAGGTCAGCATGAAATCCATAAAGACTTCCGCATCGAACGCGTTAAACAATATATAAAGAATAGAGCTCTTAAACTAAGTAGACTAAAATCAAACAACAGTTTTATTGTCTCTAGTAGATATGCGGAACTTCAAAACATTAAAAATGGGTCGCGACGTTTTACTTAATAGAATGTGATGGAGTTGTAGTTGCAGTTCCCTTTTTCATAATGAGATCCATGAGTTCGGATATTTATGTTTCAACTAGAACTGGAATAGGGGAAGAAAATTTTCATTAATCTAATTCTTAATCCAGGCTATATTAGACCCTTTTTCATAATATCTAGTGCTTGTCTAGTGCTACTCAATCATCATATTATATCTTGCGATATTTTTTTAATTAAAACTTATAAAGGTTTCCCAATTGAAAATAAAATGGGATATTTACAAATTGAATTCAGACTTGAAATTAATTTGCTAATTATTAAATATTTCTCCTTCCATTGTTCCGAGGCATGTTTAAGGGTTGCATAGCGGTAAAATTTTTTTTGTTTTTACAAATGTTTAGACTTAATGAAATCAAGACTACTATCCAAGGAAAGTAACCTACGAATGTACAAGACAATAATAAGACCGGTAGCTACATATGGCTAAGAAATATGGACAATGACGAAGGCGGACGAAGAAGCTTTATAAATTTTTGAAAGAAAAATAGTTCACCAAATCTACGGGTCAATCCAAATTGATGCAGAAACTTTTCAAAGACGAACAAATAATGAAATTGAAGAACTGCTCAGAAACGAAAATATAGTATGTATGTTGATCCTTTTTTCGAGTCAGCGCAACTGGGCACTTTTACTCTTTGATAGCTAGGGGTACTACAGGGTCCCACCCATCTCATTGACTAATTTATGTATTGCCTATAAGCTTCATGATTATTCAGTGATTAATCTAAGATCTGCGTACCTCCCCGTGCGAAGAGTGATTACTCTTACATTAGATAGTGGTAAGTAGGTAGCCTGTCAATTTTCGCATATAACTTCAGGGGTCTGTCCCTTATGTATTTTTTGATCGGGTCTATTCTAAGGTCTCTTAGCATGTCGTTTGTGCGGATGTACCAAGGCACTTTGAAGAGCCTTCTGAGAGCCTGACTTTGAGCGAGATACATTAAGTCGCAAAGGTTGTATTGGGCTGCTCATGTAATAAGAAAGGGGTCGGAGAGAAAGCCGAACAGCATATTCAACGCAAAGCCGATGATAACCATGCACAGAGGTAGGCCAAGAACAAGATGGGATGAGAACGTGTATGGTGATGCAAGACCGATTGGAGTGCTGAACTGAAAGAGAGTAGCAGATGATGGGGACAGATGGAGGAGGCCAAGGTTCATATTGAACTATAGTGCCAAATAAGAAGAAGATTAAATATTTTTACTAAAAACAAGTCAAAATATAATAGTGAAGAACAACTTATAGCTCTGAAACAATATAAATCAAAATTGTACTTAATAATTTTCATTTGTTCAATTAATATAACGACAACAGTTGAAAAGTTTCTCTTATTTATATTTATTTGTGGATATCTAAAATGTATACGTATATATCTAGTGTATTCAATAAGAAAGACATTAAAAGATTGTTATAATCTTAAAATAAATTAAATATTATTTATATTTTAAATCATTATTAATTCACAGATATGTATTATAGAAAATAGGAAAAGGTGTCTTATCTGTCATAGCAATATATTAGGGGGTCATCGAAAATGACACACCCATATTCTTATCTAAAGAAATTTTCTGGCATGTTAGACAAACTAAACCAATCGAAAGCCTTTGAGATACAGCTAGATCATATGCTACCTAAACACCAACAAGATTTTAATACCATTACAGCAGACAGAATGGGGTGCAATGAGAACAGAATGAATATCACTACAAATGACTTTATTTGGTATATATGGGTCAACAATTGAGCAAAAATCTACAACCCACAGAACCACAAAAATATCAAAGGTAGACTACAATAAAAAAAAAAAACAGATAGAAGGATAACCTTTATGTCAGATAGACAGGTAGCCAATAAATCTATAGACTCG